GAGCTGGAGCGCCTCTTCGCCGCGGCGCAGCAGCAGGGCGACGCGGGGGCCCCAGGCCGCCGGGGCACGGAACGCGTGCCTCCCCCCGGCGGAAGCCGATGATGGAGGAAGTCAGGGGGGAGAGAAACACACAGGCACAAGTAATCGTCGATTCCCCAGAAAATAAGGGAAAATATGGGAGGTGGGAGGGAGGCACAAACCCAGAAAATATGCCAAAGTACGGGGGATCCTGCTATTTGTGGGTATTTATCTGTGTGGCCCAGGGCCTCTTCAGGAAAGGGAGCAGCTCCACCTCGGGCGCCGGATAGCGGGCGGGCAGTACACGCCGGGGGGGGGTATCGATGGCTACAGGGAGGTGGCCGAGTAGAGGCGCCTCTCGCGTGCCAGCCGCGGGTCGACAAGGGGCTGGAGAGGTGCACGCTGCTTCCCCCCCGGTTAACTCCCCCATCCCAGCTGCAGGAGGGGAGAAAGCACACAGACACAATGGATCGTCGACTCCCAGGAAGATATGGGAACATATGGGAAGTGGGGGGGAAGACAAAAACCCAGAAAGTATGGGGAAATATGGCCTACTTAGTTGTGTGTCCCAGGGCCCCTTCCCAGTTGACGAACGCCCGGCTACCCTTCTCCCTCCTTCCTCGCCGCCCTCCTCTCCCCCCATTCTCCTCCTCCTCCTCCCTTGCCCTTGCCTGCCTTCGCAGTCGGCGCAGTCGGCGCGGCCGGAGGCAGGGAGAAGTACCTGGTCGTGGAAGGTGCGGGCCGAACGAAAGGAGGGGATAGGGATAGGAGAGGGGGGGTTACGAAATCTGCTGCGCGCAGCTGGTTTCGGCCCCGCCGCCGGGCCCCTTCCTCGATACCTGGGCGCCTCGCCGGGAGCATCAGCCACGTGAGCTGATTCTCCCCCCCCCCTTTGCTATCTATCCCCCCCTTTCGCCGGGCCCGAGAAAGGTGCGGGCGTGCCAAGAGCGCCCCCCCATCTCGCCTGTGTTCAGGAGGGGAAAGAACACACAGACACGATTAATCGTCGATTCCCAGGAAAATATGGGAAGTGGGGGGGAAGAGAAAAACCAAGAAAACATAGTAAAATTTGGGGAATCCTGTTATTTGTGTGTATTTATTTGTGTGTCCCAGGGGCCCTTCATGTGTCGGCGGCAGCCCTCACAGCCACGCGAGGCGAAGAGCAAGCGGGGCACCAGTGGGAGCGCAGGGAGGATGGCGCCTCTCCTCTCGGGGTCTGGGCCGGGAGAGGCCGTCCTCCCCCAGGGGCCTTGTCGACTAGACGTCAGAGTGACCTGTCGCCGGAGGGATCTTGAGTGCGGGCGCAGAGGGGCCCCCGGATGGCTGAAAGCGAATGCGCAGCAGCTGCTTGCGCGCCCAGGTTTGGTCCCCCAGCGGCCCCCCCAAGAAGCCGCGCACCAAAGGTCACTCTTACCCATCAGCGAGCGAAGAACGGTATAAGATAAACTTTTTCGCTGTCGGGGGCGCCTGTCCCACGGTGCCACCGTAAGGGTATAAATTTTCCAGCCGCCCAGGGGCAGGCGCCCCCGACAGCGAAAAAGTATATTTTATTACCGTTCTTCGCCCGTTAAACCGAGGGTCACTCTTACGCGTAGCCGACCTGGGGGGGGCGGCGGCGCGGAGCTGCGAGGGTGAGCCGCCACGCGCCGCGCGGCGGGGAGCGCGTGGCCTCGCGCTCCGGCTCCGGCCGCCGCGTGCCTCCTGTGGCGAGGCGTGGTGGAGCGGATGGGCCAGGCGCGGGAGCTCCCGAAGCGGGAGCGCGGAGAGGGGCGCGCTCGGTGTCCATCAGGAGGGGAAGAAGCACACAGGCACAATGAATCGTCGATGCCCAGGAAGATATGGGAAAATATGGGAAGTGGGGGGGAAGACAAAAACCCGTAACATACGGGAAAATATGGGGGATCCTGTTATTTGTGTGTATTTATCTGTGCGTCCCAGGGCCCCTGCAGAAGTGCACTCCCTGTGGAAGGGGTTCGCGCGGAAGGAGTCCGGTGCGCGTCTCGCCTGGGAGGGCCCGGGCTGGGATGGTGCGTCGGGCCCGAGCATGAGGAGCGCGCTGGGGCCTTTGGAAGGAGAAAATGCAAGCGGATGGGAGACGGAGGGGTCCTTCTCCGCCCTCGCTCCAGGGTCCCTTTCGATCCGATTGATCCGATCATTGATTTCGTGCAGGTCGATCCCGTTTTGATTTCGACTTCCGTCGATACGATGCGACCCGACGCTAACATGGCATTGTTGTGCATCCTGGAGTAGCCGATCCAATTCGATTTCGACTCCGTGCCGATGCGTTCCGATTCGACGCGCGTTCGGATTCGACCAGATGCTCCGATTCGATGCTGACTCTGATCCTGCCCTCAGGGGCGGAGGAGCCCGACGAGGGTGCGCTCGAGCGGCTCCGCCAGCGCTTCCTCGCCCTCGCCGCCGACATCTCGGAGGCCAAGCGCCCGCGGCGGGGCTGACGCGGCCCCCGGCCCGCGGCGCGCCCCCCCCTGGCCCGTGGCCATTTTGGCTCAAGGTCTGCAGCCATTTTGGCTCAAGTCACCTTTCCACGAGCTGGGCGTTCGGCGCAACGGCCGAGGCTCCATGACATCGAACAACAACGGAGCCACCCATGCGGCGGTTCCTGCAGCGAGGACGACATTGGACGCTTGTTCGAGGCCATGGGCATCACCCGCATGGACGTCCTGCTCGGGCCCGACAGCGACGCCGCGGAGTTCTTCAATGCGTTCATGGCTGTGCTGCCCACCACTGCAGGCGCCAGTGGCACGCGGTTGCTCGCGGGCATCGTGCTGAGCTGTTCGCCGTCTGGCAGGCTGCGCGCGCCTGTGAACATCGCGCTGGCCAGGAAGCCTTGCGAAAGGCTTTGGCGGACACGGCAGCGCCGGCGCCGCCCGCCTTCCCGCGCGCCGCAGAGGGAGGCGGCCTGGCCTCTGGCGCTGGTCGCAGAAGCCGCTTCGTTGCCCCGTACCCCCGGGCGATGCGCGCGCAGCCGCTGCCGCGGGATACAGCCGGCCTTCCTAGCCTCCGGGCCAAAGAGGCGGGTACGAAGGCAAAGTGGGTGGTGCAGCTTCGGGCCATCGTTGCGCGCGCTGGTGCGGCCGTGGCCGCGATACATGACCTCGAGCGGCTGGCATGTGAGCTCAATATGGGCGCGCCCGACCCTCAGGGCACAGTGCTTGGCAGAGGGGCATGGCGGACGCGCCAGGGGCACGCGCGGGCATGGCTCGCCTTCCAGAAAAAGTGCCGCGAGCAGCTGGCGCCCCCCTTTTTCCCCCACGACCAACGCAGGTAACTTAGTGGTGCATCTAGGGGGCTACATGCGAACCCTACCCGTACCCCCCACGATTTCTGAGGGGGAGAGTGGGGTTCACTTCGCTCGGGAGCTCCCAATCGAAGCGAACCCCACCCTCCCCCTCAGAAATCGTGGGGGGTAGGGGTCGGGTTCGCATGTGGCCCCCTAGCATCGTCTGTGGCGCGCCCGCCGCGTCTGCGGGTCATTTATCATCCCTTCGATTCGGGCTTCAAGTGCCTCGCTGTGCCAGCGCCTGAGCATGCAAGCTCCTGACCCGCGTGATCCAGTGGTTTTTGCGCTCGAAGACTGAGGTATGGAGCGGCGTGAGAAAGAAATCCGTGAAGCCTTCCTCCTCGAGATGGACGTCCTGACGGTCCTGGAGGAGGCCGTCGTCGGCTGGGCCGAGTCGCGCCGCTTGGTGGACGCTGTTTTTATTTAGTGGGTCCTTTGCATGACGTGGGCTCCATGCGGTTCGACGACGCAGTCCACGTTCACCCGTCGTCGTTTCGGCTGAAAGAGTTTGCGCTTTATGCTGCGACGTGGCAGACCAAGGTTGAACGGCGGCGCCAGGGTACTCGCTGCGCCGTGTGCAGTACGTCGCTTGGCGGGCATCCTTGGTTAGAGGTGGGGGCGAAGGCGTTCTTTGACCTGCTGCCGGCTGGCAGGGGGCGCATCGACTTCTGGCTGGGCGACGTTTCCTCGAAGGGCATTCCTTCGAGACCACTCGGGAATGCGAGCGGCTCGCTGCTGTCTCCAGAGCGGTGATGCGCAAGGGGCGGGGCAGTTTGGCCGCGGTCTCTTCGCGGCCGCAGACGAGGCGTGCAGCCGGTCGGTCGACCGCTTCGCGGCGCCTTCGCCGCGCGTTGCGATTCTTGTCGGTGTGGCGCACCGCGGCAGCAGCGAGGCGCAGCTCATGGTCCAGGGCACATGGAAGGGCGGCCGCGCGCCCGTTAAGTATCCTAGGGGGCGAAAGGCCAACCCTCCAGCGTGCGTGCGCTTGATGGCTCTAGACATGTTGCAGGGCAGGCGGCCCTCGTCGTCGCCGACAGCGAGCGGCGTCGCGTTGATTGGCGCGGGCGCGCAGGCTGCCGCCGTCGACGACGGGGCCGGCGACGTCGAGGTGCGCGTCTAGGACGACGTCGACGAGGGCGGCGTCGACGACGTCGAGGGCGACGACGACGACGAGGTCGGTTTCGACGAGCGCATGCCCACTGCCCACCTTCTGCGTCCGTGACAGGTGCCAGGCAGGCGGGAAATACGAGCGCCGAGTGCACGCGACTGGGCTTGGCGCGCCAGGGCGTCCATCTTGAAATTCTTCCCGCTGTCTGCTGCCGTGCAGCTAGGGCCAGGGGCCTCTGACTTCGCAGCTTTGCGCGGTCCGCGCAAGATGCGCGCGCCGCAACTTGCGGCGCTGGTTGCGCCGCCGCGAGGCAAAGGCGCCGGTCGGCCCTAGCAGCGCAGACAGGACATATTCAATCGTCGACAGCGCCCCCTTCGAGGAGGTCGCGGGCGGGCGTTCGCTCATGTTCGCGGTGGCTTTTTGTGAATTCGAACCTGGTGGCCCTTCCGGGGACGAGCGCGTCCCAATGTGGCCCGACGCGACGGGCTAGATGCGGCGTTTTGGGGCCACGCGGGAATGCGCTGTCCCGCGGGCATTTGTGGTCCGCTGTGACGGGCGGAACGCGCTGGAGCTGGGCTCTGGGCGAACCAACCTGGGGCTGGGGCCCCGCGAGCAGTCGTGACCCGTCGAGACGGGAGGGGCGCGTTGGGGCGTGGGCCGGGCGAACATTCGTTTCTGTTGCGACGGGCGAAACGGTTCGGAGTGGGTGCCTTGCGGGCATTTGCGCTCCGCTGTGACGGGCGGATCGCGTTGGGGCTGGGGCGCCGCGGGCATTTGTGACCCGCTGTGGCGGGCGGGGCGCGCTGGTGCTGGGTCCCTGGCAGCATTTGCGACCCGTTGTGACGGGCTGATCGCGTTGGGACTGGGACATTGCGGGCGTTTGTGGCCCGCTGTGGCGGGCGGACCGCGCTGGTGGCTGGGTCCCGGGGGCATTTGCGACCCGTTGTGACGGGCCGATCGCGCTGGGGGTCCCTGTGGGCAACTGTTATTCTCTGTGACGGGCGGAACGCGCTGTGGTTGTGGCCCCGCGAGCGTGCGTGACCCGCTGTGACGAGCGGAGGGCGCTGGGGCTGGGGCCCCATGGGCATGTGTGACCGTTTGCGAAGTTGGAGCGCGCTGGGGCTCGGGCCCGCTGGGTATTTGTGGCCCGTTGTGACGGGGAGAAAGATCTGGGGCTGGGGCCCCGTGGGCATGCGTGATTGGTTGCGGCGGGAGGGATGCGCCAGGGCTAAAGTCCCGCGGGCATATGTGACCCGTTGTGACGGGCGGATCGTGTTGGGGCTGGGGCCCTGCGGGCACTTGAGACCCGTTGTGGCGGGCGGAACGCGCTGGGGCTGGGGCACCGTAATTATTTGTGACCCGCCGCGACGAGCGGGGAGCACTAGGGTTGGGGCCCCGTGGCCGTTGCGATTGTGACGGGCGGGGCGCGCTGGGGCCCGGGCCCCGCGTGCACGCGTCGCCCGTTGCGACGGGCGGAGCGCGCTGGGGCTGCGGCCCGCGGGCAGTGGTACCACTTGGTGATCCGCGGCGACGGGGCGGGTGCGCCGGGGCTAAGGTCTCATGGGCATTAGTGACCCGTTGTGACGGGCGGATCGCGCTGGGACAGGGGCCCCGGCGGCGCTTGAGACGTGTTGTGACGGGCGAAACGAGCTGTGGTTGGGGCCCCGTGGGCATTTGTAGCCCGTTGTGACAGGCGCTGGGGCCCCGTGGGCGCTTGTGACCCGTTGCGATGGGAGGGATGTGCCGGGGCCAAGGTTCTTGTTGTAGGCAGTTGTGGCCCGTTGTAACGGGTGGAGCGCGCTGGGGCTGGGGTCCCGCTGGCAGGTGTAATCGTTGTAGCGTTCGACGCGCGTTGGGGCTGGGGCTCCACGGACATTTTTGACCCGCTGTGACGGGCCGGGCGCGCTGTGGCTGGGGCCCCTTGGGCATGACGGGTTTTGACTCGTTGTGACCGCCCTGGGAACGCCCTGGTAGTGTTTCTGTTGTGGCGATTCGTGCAAATTTTGTCACCGCGGGGACCTTCACCCTTCATGGTATCAAATTTCAAGTCTCCGAGTCGCACGGCGGTTCGAGGCGTCAGGGGCTTCCGCCCCGCACGCGAGACCCCCCGCACATCGAATTTTAGCAGACTTTTTCTCCACGCCCCGCCTCTTCCATCGCCCTCCTCTCCCCTCTCCTTCTTCCAGTATTATTCAATGCGAATGCTGCGCTCCTCTCCCCCCGAAGACCCCTAGGTCGTTCGATCTCGTTATCCTCTTCTTCCTCCTCCTCCTCCTCGTCCTCCGCCATGTTTCATTATTTGTCCGCTTTCTCCGCTTTCCTCCTTCCTCTACCTCTTGGCCATGAAGGTCAGATTCGACACCCGATTCGGTGAGGAGAAAAGGAATTCAGCGCAATGAAAAGAGATGGGGGGAGGGGTAGGATGTCAGATGCGGCGCGAGCACGCCTAGCTTGTCCCCCCCCCGCTCCTACTCCCTCCGTCCTCCCCCCCTCCCACATCCTTTCTCCATCCTCCTTCCTCCTCCTTTCCCCCTCCTCCCTCCTCTCACTCCTCTCCCTCCTCTCTCCTCCCTCCTCTCCCTCCCCCCTCCCCCTCATCTCTCATCTCTCTTTCCTCTCTCCTGCTTCTCCCCCCTTCCTTCTTCCCCGCTCTTCCCTCTTCCCTCCTACCTCTTCCTCCAGGAGAGCGGCAACGGCCCAGCGCGCCGGTAACCGGCGGATGGATGCGAGGCCTGAAAATTGAAAACCAAGCAAAAGGGGGTGGGGCACCGACTAGGCGTGAGGACGGCGGCAGAGCACCCTGCGGCCAGGGGCGCCTTTCGCAGCAGAAGCGACTCGGCGCATGGGCGGCCTGCTGCGGCCCCGCGGTGCAGCCGCGAGAGCATCAGGGAGGCGACGGGGCCGGGGGGCGGAGGGAACTGCGAAGGAAGGCGGCGTCGCGTCGGCGCGGGTCCTCGTTGCCCCCGCCGCGCTGAGAGCAATGCCTGGCCCGGGCCGCGCTGGGTCTGTCGCCTGCTCGCCGCGCCCCAGTGATTGCGGTGGCCAGGGCCCCGTTGGCATTGAGGGGGTCGTGGCAGAGGGCGCCTGTGAGAGGGGCGGCGCGCTCCCCGCACTGGGGGGCGCCGCGGTGATCCTCGGCGCTCGAGCTGCCAGCGTTTGTCGCCACGTGGACGACAGGGCGGGGCGAAATG